TGTCTCTGTCTCTCTCTCTCTGTGTCTCTGTCTCTCTGTGTCTCTGTCTCTGTCTCTCTCTCTGTGTGTCTCTGTCTCTCTCTCTGTGTCTCTGTCTCTCTCTCTCTCTGTCTCTGTCTCTCTCTCTGTGTGTCTCTGTCTCTCTCTGTCTCTCTCTCTGTGCTCTCTGTCTCTGTCTCTCTCTCTCTGTGTCTCTGTCTCTCTCTGTCTCTCTCTCTGTGTCTCTCTCTCCTCTCGTGTGTGTGTGTGTGTGTGTGTGTGTGTGTGTGTGTGTGTGTGTCTGGTATCACCTGACAGCTAACACAATCAAGGATGAGGCACTTTGCCGTCTCAGCATGCCTTATGCTACCCTTCATAGCTGTAGCCAACTTCCTCCATTCCCCTCCCTGAGTGCAGGCCACCGGCATTCTGTTCTCTCTGGTGCTGTCATCCCTGACAAACTGATGGGGCACCTCCTGCTCTCGGCACCTTTCCTCTGTTCGGGTTCAAGTTCTGCCATCACACAGGTGGTTGAGTGCACATGCTGTGGTTTATTCTGTGCTGTTTCTGTGGCCTTGCATGGTGTAGAAGCTCCCGGAAAGAGTACTTGGGCCCTTTCAGAGTGGAGCTATTGCACTCAAAGCTGCTATGAACGTCCACCATCAATTGTGTGAACATAGTTTTCATATCTCTGGGATAGACACCCAAGAGCGCAGTTGCTGAAGCTCACGGTAGGCACTTGTTTAATTTTATGAGGAGCTGGCATCGAATTCCCAGGGTGCTGCAACACTCCACCTTCCCCCGCTCCCAGTACTGCCTGTGAGGCCTGATGGCACATGCTTTCAGGACTGTCACTGGTTTGGGTTTTGGTTTGCTGTTCTGACATAAGCATGGGGACAGTTCTTGGTGGTTTTGATGGTGTGAAAGATTTCGTGTACTCATTTGCCACCAGCAAGTCCTCCCCAGTGAAAAAGCTACTTGTTTCTTTCACTTTTGATTTGGATAAGTTGTTTTTTTTTTTTTTTTATCAGTATTTACCTTTGTTCATTCTTCTACCCTGTCTTCTGGCTCCTTCCTGCTTAGCCTGTGTTTTCATCATCTCCATGGGATTGTTCAGAGAAAAAGTTGGTTTTAATTCATTATTTTGGTGCATTTCAAGGTTTTCATTGTCCCTTTAATGGATTGTGGGTTTGGGTTTTTTGCTTATTTGTTTTTGTTTTTTTTTTTTGTTTATTTGTTTGTTTTCTTGTATTTGTTTGTTTGGTTGGTTTTGTTGTTTTTTATTTCGTTTGTTTTGTTTTGGTTTTGGTGTAAAGTCTTAAGAAGTATTTATCTAGCAGGGCATGGTATTGCAT